CGGGTGCAGCGGACGCCAGCATCCCGGACCCCTGTGCCTCGCCGCCCAGCATCGCCCCGCGTGCCTCAGCTTGGGCTGCTGGCCATGGGACCTCTGCCTGCCCCTCCACAGCTGAGGGGACCTCTCCTCACTCCTGGGGCTCCTTGCGGTGCCCAGAGCTCTGGGTTGGGTAAGCAGGGTCCCCTTACATCCCTTCAGCTCCTGGAGCCCCGCTGCCTTGGTCTCTTTGCAGTGCCAGAGCTCTGGGGTGTGTAGGCTGGGTCTCCATCGTGTCCCTCTGGCTCTTGCTCAGCCAGTGCTGGGCCCCTTTGCAGTGCCAGGGCTGGAGGCTGGTAAGTGCCACACCAGTTCAGGGCACTGGGACACACCACACACCTGTGCCTTCCCTGGCTCCATGGCGCCCAGCCGGACGTTACGTGTGGCCGTCCTGGGATCCTTAGCCTGTCCCGACCTTTAGCCCAACTGTTTTAGGTCCAGAGATACGTATTAAAATAGATACAAGCTGTGTGGCCCCATACACCTACCCAAAGCCACATGGCCTGGTGTCTCTCAGCCCCTTCCAACTGGGATGTTGGCAGACTGTCCTGGCCCTGCATCCCCACAGCTCCAGCCCCGTGCGGTGCAATGCCAGCTCCTGAAAACACCAGCACCCGTTGGCCTCGGACAGTCCAGCTTGGTACTGGCAGAGATCTGTCAGCAACCATAAAACTGCAAATGTCATGAAGGGTGAAGATGGGAGGTGATCAGGGAGTAGACATTTAGCGGAGAAAGTGTCTGGTGCAAATGCAGCTCCCAAAAGGTGCAGCTGGCCACACATCTGTCCCCACGGACGAGGTCTCCATGTCACAAGCTGCTCCCTGCCCTCTGGACATGGAGGTGGATTAGGAATTGGCTGGAGGGCAGAGCTCAGAGAGTGGTGATCAGCGGTGCAGAGTCTAGTTGGAGGCCTGTAGCTAGTGGTGTCCCTCTGGGGTCAGTCCTTGATCCAGTCCTGTTCAATTTATTCATCAATGACCTGGATGAAGGCACAGAGTGCTCCCTCAGCAAGTTTGCTAATACAAAACTGAGGGGAGTAGCTGATACCCCAGAGGGCTGCACTGCCATCCAGAGGGACCTGGACAGACTGGACAACTGGGTGGTGAAAAACCTCATGCAATTCAACAAGGCCAAGTGCAAGGTTCTGCACCTGGGGAGGAATAACCCCAGACACCAGTACAGGCTGGGGACCGACCTTCTGGAGAGCAGCTCTGCGGAGAAAGACCTGGGTGTCATGATGGACGACAAGTTGACCATG